CGAGATAGCCCGTTTCCAACCCAAACCCTATCCAGTGGACCCTTGTGCCCCTCTTTTTCTCTTAATATGACAAAGAAAGGGAGTGCCAATATTGTTTTCTTTTTTACTTTATTTTTAATATCTGAGCCCTTCTTTACTGCACAACTTCATTCTTGGAGCTTGCCCGTATTCTCTTCCTCAGATCCTGAATTGGCATGGCGTTCTTCCTCAACAAAACTACAATTTTCTCTCACTTACGGTCGCAATCTCAGGTTCTCTCTCTCTCTAAGCTTGTATATACTGTGAAGTAATTGATCTTCTCTTTGTTATAGACCTGTCTCGTTCCTATTCTCATCTTTTCTCTCTATCTCGACCTAACGCCGCTTCAACTACTTGCAGGGTAAGACGGAGAACTTGGTATCTCAGCCGACTCGAAGTTTCCACATCGAACCAGGGGCCCGCGAGAAGGCCGTGAGTGCTTTGCCTCTTTGGCCTTTTCTCATTTTTGAGCTCTCATTCAGTTTGCATGTTTCAGATTTGATGATGATGGGTTTAGTTAGATCGTAGTCCCTCTTTTGCATATTGCAAAATCAATAGAATTGGTAGAAGTTTTGATTGTGCGAATTATGGAACCTCGAAGGGGATTTAGAAAATGGGAAAGGAAATTTGTGCAGTATCATTTCAGAGTGTATGATTCTATTCACAAGCAACTGGGAAACTATGATGAGATAGTTGTGTTTATTTTCTTTCATTTGACGTTTTGACCCCTTCTGATGCTGAATTCACAATCAGCTTAGGGAAAGCTGGATTAGAAAGAAGAAACAGCTTTATTTGCCCTATTCTCTCTTCTATTTTAAGGCGTTGACCCAATTCAGAAATTGAAGGGCTCAATAAGTATAAGCTTCGACTTTTTGATTGCCTTTACTGAATAAATCAGTGGCACCAACTATTTGTAGCTTCTGGTAGAATCCTTATTTTAATTTGTGATTCTTCCTCTTTGAGGCTATTTTTGGTTGTGTAACTAGTAAGGTGGTTGGTCCTAGATGCAGTAAGGATTAGCCGTGGGAAATGCTCCACCTCTTGCCACCAATAGTCCAAATAGTATACCTCAATATGTGGAATGATATCGTAGGGATGAGTTAGTTGTAGAAGACATTTTACTTTAATGCTAGCCATGAAACTTAAAACTGTTTTCAAGCACAAGAATCTGGGAAATGGATAAAGGGTCAAAAACAGGATGCTGACATGGTAATTTGATGAAAAATTAGGATACAAATGCCCCAAATTCAGGGAAAATAATATATTTTTATACAATCTAATGGTAAGTTTGATTATAGTGATATCTGGAAATAATGGTAAATGACCTACTAAAACTATATCAGCGGTAAACAATAACACTGTTGCATCTACATGTTAAAGGCATTTAGTATTTAGTATGAATTAGAAACAATCATGAATTGAACAAAACTATTATATTAGTTAATATACACACCCATATATACATAATACTAATTTCATATTAACTCTTGTGAATTCTATCTGTTAAAATTTGTTTGATATAAACATATGTTTGTCATTGTACTTGGAGACACATGTTCACAAAATTGAGGGCAAAATATGGACACATGGTATGACAGCTACTTGTTCTGCTTATCTGTAACTGCAATAGGCACTTGGTTCATTCCCAATGCCCAGGCCTCTTTACATGTTATCATCTCTTTCAAATTGTTACTTATGCATGCACAATATGTCTAGCTCATAGGTTTACGGTGGAAAGCTTCTTAACATAGTGCCACCAGTACTACGCCATTCTTAGGTGGAATCATGCATCACCCAATTTTTTTTCCTCATTTCATGAATTAGGATAAAATCCTGTTTAGATTTTGTAAAAAGGAACTACCATAGCACTATCCTAGCTGGTAGAACTCCAACATTAGGTTGGTGGTCTCAAGTTCAAATTGAAATTTTTTAAGATTAGGATTCTAAGTTGGATCGTTTTGGGTTTTGCAGAATCAGATTTGTAGGATCAGATCTAGCATCATAAGATTCTACCAAGCATAGAAAATGAATAAACATTCTATGAAGTAAGACAAGTATTCATAAAATATTCCAAAGACGATAGTTCATATGTTCAATTCACATTCAGCACAATTGTCACAATAGTTCAAAAATCAATAGTAAATATTAATTTAAATTGAATTTGCAATACAGGGCAGCCTACACATTTTGAAACCATTATGTTTATGTTTTAAATATATTGTTCTTAAGTATATAGTTTTTTCTATGATACCTGTAAAGCTTATGATTTGAAAGTTTACTTCTGAAGAATTCAATCTGATGGATTGTTATAAGACTTTGGGGAAGTCATTTGATGGTTTGAACTTTGGATTTTGTGTCAACTGTATGTATATTTTTCTTTGCTTGCACTAAGTGTGAAGTATCACTTTAAACTAAGTTCATGTACCTGGCAGCTTTTGGCAGAGGATCCATCATTAAAGCGGTTCAAATCACATAAGAAAGGTGTGCGGAGAATTAAAAGAATTGGAGATGTCCTCACAATTGTTGTGGTGGCTGGTAAGATAATGCATCACTTTAGATTGCATACACCATTTAGTTCATTTTGGCATATGCTACTGCCCCAAGACATTTAGAAACAAATGGCTGTATGCTGACCCAAGATTTAAATTCATTGATATTGGCTGCGAAAATATTGTTTTCTGCACCTAAATTGTGATCTGGGTAATCAAGTTTTCTTTAATCACTGTAACTTTAATGATGCTAATACTGCAGATTATAACAGAGTTGTTATACTTGATTTCTGGATATCATTTGCTGATTACTCACAAAGGTTTTTAAAGTTTTCTACTTGATTCCTGCATATCATTGTTCTTGGAGAAATTTCTAGTTCTGATACTTGATTAAGTTTTTGGGTGGGATAGGACTGAAATTGATGCAAAACCAAAAACGTGGAAATGTGATCAGATGTATATAAAATAAACTTTGATGCATGTAACATCTTCAATTGCTGTGACTCAACTATGTTTAACCCTGAATTTATCATGCCAAAACATTTCATGGATGAATTTCTCTGGAGTCAGTTAACAATGCCCTTGCATAATAGGATGTAGATAATATTATTCCTAGGACATTTTGATATGGAGTCAAGAAGGATTCGTCCTTGTGCCTTGGCAACCAAGGTCCACGCTTTTTGGACATTGCATTGCCCAGCCTTTCTGAAAGCCCTATGGTGATGCCTTGAAGCGCCTTGCACCTTTATGGTGCCTTTTGGCATCTCTCACAACCTTGGCATGGTTTTGCTTGTGCTGATACTTCTTGTTCATTGAAGTGCACAGATGTTTGGCTATGGCCTCTAGTTGGATATATTTCTTCATTATTTGTTAATACATTGGTGAACTTCTATTAAGGTCATAGCTGCAATCTGTTGTTCCTAGTTCTTTTACTCATCTAAGCTGATGATTGCTTCTGAGTGTGAAATTTAGATGCATGTCCTATGTTTCTGGTTGCTGGCGTCAAATATTGAAACTTGTTTTACCCCTTTGCCTTTGTTTGGGACTTGGTTATCATGGGACTCTGTGTTCTATAAGATAACAAAAGCAAATGATGAACTGGGCATGCATGAGATTTTTTAGATTACTATAAACTTATCCTCTTTATTTATATCTCGTTATCAGTGCAATATAATGCCTGCAACTGGACACTCCCCCCCTCCCTCTCTCTCTCTCTCTCTATATATATATATATATATAGACGAAACACCTCATGTCAGGGTTTACCCTGCCAAGTGCATTCCAGCCAAGCACTTAATCTCCCGGCGTGTGGAGGATCAACCCTGATTTCCTTGATTTTCTCTGCATGGTCAGGGTTATCACACCTAGGACATCCATGGCTTTTTCTCATCCTGCCATCTGACAGGAGAACTTTAGTCATCCCTTATGCTTAGAAGCAGTCTATAGTAGACAAGAGGCTAGTTCAAAACATGGAGTGTGGCTTGGATGATCCTGTGGAGGCTCATTTATAAACAAGGGCATCCCTTCTCTTCCAGGCATAATTTATACTTACTCAATTATTCTCTAGAAGCCTTCCAAGGGTCTAAGAATCTCTTACTCATATCTTTCTCTGGCATTACCTCTATGTTTTGATATATTCACTCTTTTTTCATCCTCCACTGTGCAAGAGGGCCATCATCTTCCCAGGATTATGTTCCCACCTGTAGCTCAGGACGCTTCCTGCACAATCACCCTGTATGAATCTATATATACTATTCTTGCAAAAATTATGGGCCACCACAATAATAGTGTGTACAGGTTTTACATAGATGAGATATATGCTTGTTTTTGCTATTGCTCTTTGAGGAACTGGTTCATATATGTGATTGATTGCTGTTCATGATAAGAGAAATATATACTACCTGAATTGTGAAGATAAGCTCTTTTGTCTGAGGTCTGCATTTCACCACTAGAAAGTTCACCAGTTCCACTTTTTTTTCTCCCACTTAATATTTCTTATTGTCTCTCTGTTTTTTTTTTTTTTTTTTTTTTTTTTTTGGGATTTTAGGATGTTGCTATGAAATTTATGTCAAAGCGGTAATGAGAGAAGAAGCAAGGAAACAGGCAGGTGAGAGGGTATGACAGGAGAAAGTTTGTGGCAGTTCTTCCAGAGTCTGGCCGAGAGCTTCGTGAGGGTGTTTTTAATGGTTTTGGTTTTCTTTAGTGCTGAATAATTCAAGACAAGAAATGTCATCTTCAAGTGCTTGAACAATGAAACCCTATTAGCTGGTCTTTGATTGATTTAAATTTTAGCTCTTCTTTAAATTTGAACAGTTTGGTGGATCGGCGCTGTTCGGAGTATCAAAGCAGGTTGGCTTAAAAAAGGTCATCAACACAATCTAAGACCGGGGGACATTGAATATAATGCTTACATATTTTCCATTTTTCTACCATGTCTACTTGACGGCTCTGTTTTTAACTGGCGTATTAGGATCTATATGATAAACCTTAAAAGCTGAATTTTGATTTTGATGTCTTCTTTTTTCCGTTAGCAGAATCAAATCAAAGGGGAAAATCTTCTGAATAACCATTCAATTTGTTTCCCCGTCATAGGCACGGGCCAAAAAGTTAGTCTTCTGAGTAACTTCTAATTCTTTCCAAACGGATCCTCGGTTCTCAATCAACGGACTGCCCCTTTTCTTGTTTTTTTTTTTTTTTTTTTTGTTTTGGTTTCCTCATTAACACACGAATATGATATTCAATGGCGCTTGATTGCACTGCAAACAAGGATCAGGTTCTTGGTGTTTCAATATATTTTTTCCTAATTTTTTTTATAAATAATTAAGATGTTTTATACTGTTATATAAATTTTTAACTCATCTTTTTTAAAAAACTTGAATTGTCGGTGGAAATTATAAACGATTTAAATTATATCTGCGAACTCATGCATCCATAATTCTGAGTAAATGGTGGGGGAAAAAGGGATACAAACATGACATGGTACAAAAATGGAAAATATTAAACACTGATAAATGAGACTGACTATAAACTGGCTGATGGTCTTAATCCTATTCTTACTGTGGCGGGGTCCGATATAAGATTGACAATGAATTCATCTATTTCTGTGTTAAAAATCGACGGCTACTACCTGAAAAGACAAATACGAGATAAGAGATATTTTGGTGGGAGAAACCCAAAAAAGACATTGCGATTCGTGTAATTCCAATTAATGAAACAAAATAGCAGAAAATTGGAACCTGCGAAAGATAAACGGTTACCAAGATCAGGGTTTCCCTGACAATTTGTGGTGGCTGTCATTGATACAGATGATGTTTGTGCAAGATTGTGGAGGAGGCCAAGCGGCGGCTAATCAGGGGCAGAGGATCGGTCTTCTTCCTCCGCCTCCAGCGTCAGCCACCTCCGCCCCTTGGCCTTGTTTTCTCGCGAACAGCCTCCTTCCCCCTTCCCTTGGCTCTGGTTTTGCCCGCCTTACCCATTTACTTCTCCGCCACTGTCCCCTATTCCTCGCCACTCGGCATGCTTGGCGCCGCCCTTGCTCACTGCCCGATCGGCTCAGACTCCCCTTCCACGCATGCGAGAAGATTGCCCCTTGGAAGTCGGCCTTACAAGGACCGACTTCTCTTGGGAGTTCGGCACCCTCCTAGTTTAGACTAGTTTTATGCAAAATTCGATTCACACTCTACCTATTTCTCAAATAAAATATAATTTAGTATATAAAAAATTTATAATATTAATATAAAAAATTCTCTCTAAATTGCATCTATTTCGTGATGGTATAAAAGTTGACAAAGCAAGGTACTTTTATAAATGTTTTGTTTTAAAAAGTATTTAAATTTAATATTTAATTAATAACAAAGCAAATTAAATCATGTAAAGAAATACGAGAAAAATTCAAGAAGAAATGAAATAAAAAAAGAAAGTATTGGTCCGGGACGTGGACCCCCTAATTTGAATTTGGATTCAAAGTCCGTGAACCGTGAATAAATCGGGGCATGAACTCTCTGCAGTGGTGGAGAGACAATACAAGCTGTTGAGTATAGGGAGACAAGACAAGCTCTGTATTTTCTTGATTAGCTGAATTTGGTGGGTTGGATGGGCTCGAGCATGTGAATTCTGGGGACTAGTCTTTATCCACCTTAGACTTTGCCTGGATGGTGAAAACCTGGTGTTGACAATGATGTCACTATCAAATTCTTTAAAAAAAAAATGATTAAAAGTTAAAAATTTTTGACTTTCTAATTGAGAGTTACCATGAGGTAACAACAACTAAGCTTAGAAAACGATTTTCAACCACCCATGTAAGACTAGTCAAAATTTGGAGGCAAATACGGTAAATATAAAAACACCCCATCATCTATAAATATTATATAAGAGTGGGGTATTTATTCTCTATTGTAACAAGTACTAAAATATGTTAATTTTATTTTTATTTAATATTTTATTTTCTATTTGATATAAAGGGTGAAATTTTAATTTTTGAAAATAGGAAGTACAGGGAGAGAGTAAATTTTATATAGATGTAGAGAGAGAGAGAGAGAGAGAGAGAGAGGGGGGGGGGGGGATCCTAATTCTTGGGGGTGGGTGTTTGTGATAATGATGGAAAGAATGGCCACTAGGACCATCACTAGGTTTCTTTTGTCTCTATTTAATTAATACATTTCGAAAAAAAGTGGATTGTGTGTGAGATATTGGCCCACACAAAATCTTACTTTAAAATCAAATTACTTTTTTATTTTTTTGTTTTTATTAAACGAGGGTTACGAATGGAAATACAGAATCTTGAAACGAGATTAATGGGATGGCAGATGCAGATGGAGATGGATCATGCCATGGAAAATTTTTTGAACTTTTTTTGCCTCTCTCAACTTTTTATAAGTTACTAAATTTGACTTTATAATTTTTTTTAGTCATATTTTTATGTTAAAAAATTAAATTTATTTGATATAGAGTTTTAACCCACTTAATTAGTTATCGTGTTATTGATTTGTATTAGTATTAAAATTAATATTTAATACTATTTAATAAATATTAAAGTTATTAATTCATTAGGTCATCTTTTAATATCTAAGAAGAATTAATAAGTACTAATCATGCTTTATTAACAAAAAAAAAGTAGGACATTCAAGGATTATGGTCAAAGAAAATTACAAAAAGGACCATGACAAAATATTGATTTTTATTGAATTATCTGATACAAATTAGGAGCATAAAAATAATCATGAGTCAATATGAATAACTTTTATTAAATTGTACGACTTCAATTAGGTGTTTGATTAAAAAAATTATTGCAGTCTTAATATATAATTAGCATTTAGTTGTAGTACTTTTTTACAACTTTCCCTTGTTGATATCTTACTTTTAACCAAACTTCCTCCTACTCAATTTTGAAATTTAAACTTGTACTTTTTCAAGCGGTACTTAAGAAGTGCTTTTTGAATTTTGGGTTGTTCTCTTTAAGATTAAAATATTGCATTTAAGTCCCTTTTACGTATTAATTTAGACTAATTTATTGGGTAAATAGTTGTAAATTCGGAATGACTTGTTTTTAACCCGTGTCTTCCTTTGCTTAAACAAATTTGAGGTGATAATTGTATAAATTCGTGTAAAAAGAACACCAAACAGTCAAAAAAAAAAAAAAAGAAATTCCTTGAACAAAATTTTAGTTAGAAGATGATGGCAAAATATAATATATATATATATATAGATAAAAACTTAATGTTTAACATAAAAACATATTAAAAAGTAACAAAAAAATTTTCTACTTACCAAATTATTATTTTTAACTAATAGGTTTGTGTAAATATGATAAAATATTTATTTAATTACATAAGTGTATTAAATGTAATTTCATAAAAACACATTTTGAGTAGTTAAAATTATGCATCACTAGTAAGAATAATTTTAAATTATAAAATAAATAAAAATAATTATAATAATTAAAATTATTACAATTATTAGTTGATAATAAAATAATAGTTTATTTTATTTTATTTTTTACAAACAACGTGTTTGTTATATATAGTCCTTGTCCATTCTCGAACTTGCTTCTTATTATCACCTTGACCGACCACCGACAAATCCCTTTTTTTTCGTATAAATAATTTAAGTATATTTATTCAAAATGATAAATCAAAACTCTATTAAATAAATTTTATTATACCAAATAAATAAATAAATTTTAGTATTCGCTTGGATATATTCTTAAATTTAGCTTTTGTTTTCTAGAATAGAAAATAGATAAAAAAAATTTTTTACTACTTATTATCAAAAATAATTTATAAAAAATTATATTAAGATTTTCATTGATTTTTATTGAACTTTTTTATTTTTTATTTTTGATTTTTTAAAAACTCTTTAACACAATAATTTTATAAAATGTAAAATTGAGAACATTCTCGGACATGGCCTTAAAATTCTAATTAAAAATATATCTGCACATTTGCCATTTCCCAAAAACTAAATAGCCGAAACGGTGAAAGAGCTAGAAATACTGCTACTAGTGGTGGCGGTACTTTTGGTCGGAGAGGTTTCCACTCTCTTTGCACGACATGCTGACACGTTTCGGGAAGGGGGTATTATTGTCAATTTATTGAAATTGAATTACGAAACTACCCCAGCCGGGGCAGCCAAAACTTTTTGTTATTTTTTGTCCAAGAGACAGGCCCATTATTTGCAGGTGGTATAATGCCAGTGCTGCCTCTGTCTGTCTGAGCTGTGAAATACATACTCGAACCACAGAGAGAGAGAGAGAGAGAGTCTTGAAGAGACTTTCTGGGTTTCTCTTGGTTTAAAAACTCTGAAACTGTGGGAATTGGAAGATCTGGGGAGAGATGGCAACCTTTGCAGGGACAACCCAGAAGTGCAAGGCGTGCGATAAGACTGTGTACTTGGTGGATCAGCTCACCGCTGATAACAAGGTCTATCACAAGGCTTGCTTTCGCTGCCACCACTGCAAGGGCACCCTCAAGGTAAAGAACCCCCTCTACTTTTGAATTGGCCTATAATTATGTACCCCAGGCGCCCTTGCATTTCTTGTCATGTTAAAGTAGTTTTTTCTGTAGTGGGTCTTGTTTGAGAACAGTGGTTAGCGACTCCTCTCCGGGCATTTTGCTTGTGTTTCTAATGGAATTGTTTGATTGAGTCTAATTTAGAGATGGTGTGGTTGAATGTTTGGTGGTATTGCTCTTGATGGGTGAAGTTGAATTTTCTGGATCGTGATCTTTAATATCATGAGTGTTTTAAATGTGGGTTTGGTGGGGTTGGAACTTGGAACTGTACTATTTGTTGAATGAATGAATGCTTTTAATTGAGTGAGATAAGAATTTTTAATGTGTATCCGGAGTGGGCTTTTCTTGAAAACTATGTTTACTGACTTTTTTGAGGACATTTTGCTCTGTGTCCTTGAGGAATTGTTTGATTGAGTCTGATTAGGGATGGTAAGGTTGAATGCTTGGTAGCACTACAGGTTTTGGTGGGTATATGATGGTGACCTCGAGCTGGAAGTTGAATTTTCTGTATCTTGATCTTCAGTCTCATGAGTGTTTGAATAGAGGTTTGCCTTTTTGAGGCTTTGCATTGTATGATTTGTCAAATGAATGTATTTAATTGAGTGATATAAGAATACATTTTTGATGTGGTTTTTGTTTGAGAACAATGGTTACTAAACTTTTGTGACATTTTGTTCAAATTGTTAAGAAATTGCATGATTGATAATGGTACAGGATGGTGACGTCAAGCTGGAAGTTGGGTTTTTCTTTATCTTTTTGGATCATGATATTACGTGTCTTAGTTTAAATTTGGTTTTTCTGTTTGAGGTTTGTAATGTACTATTTGTAGAATGCATTTATTCAATTTGGTGATAGGTTGGTATAGGGGTTTGTACTTGTATGTATATATGGCTGATTCTTTCAGAGGTTTTAGCAGGGAAACCTAGGTCTTCTCAATTCATTGTTTGGTTTCATAGATGTTCATCCTAAATATTAGAAGTAGCATAAAGGATTTCAATCAAGTTTGGGTGACTTGGAAAGGCAGCCAAAAGATTGCACGGACTGGGATTTGAAATTGATACAGCACTATAAAATATAAAAGAGGATTTGTGGATTTTATTGGTTGCAAATGTTGAAGTAGTTCTAGAGACCCAATGAAAAAATTTGGGCATAATTAGACCTTTAAATCACATAGATATCTATTACAATGCTAAGAAGACATTCACTTATAATCTGTCATCAGGGAACATAGCAATTTTCATGATGCCGTTTGTTTAAATGCAATAGTGCTGTTCACCTGAAATGTGCTTCATCTCAATGTAACAAGCAATTTAATCACTAATTAATTTTTTTTTCCTACCAGTGATGGACTTCAATGAGGAAATTATTCACCTGGACTCAGCTCTTAGGACCCCATAATTAAATCTAAATGTAGCATGTAAACTTGCCTGCTAATTTGCTTTAGAGCTCGTTGTATTGAGCTTGTTTGTTCTCTTAAGAAGTGTTGTCTGCTAAAAAGTGCAAGTCACTGGGTGCTATTACTCAATCTTATGAAAATTCAACTTTGCTCCAGTAGCCATTGTTAAGATCACAAGAGAGCATAGTGTCAGAAGGTTTCAACTATTATTTGGTTTCGGAACTTGGTTTTTGAGGCTTGCTGGATGTAACCAAGTCATTTAGTACTGTAATCAGGTGCATCCATACATGATTCCAGCTTTTATTAAGACTTGATTGTAGATTTGAATATTGATGTAAGAAAAAATTGACAAATTGCTCTCTTATTGTAGGGCAAGGATTTTTTTTTTATTTTTATTTTATTGTTGCTATTGGAATTGGTATATTTGTTTTGTTGGTAATAGTGTATGTTTTTGAAGATGAAATTTAAGTTTGGTGACATTGTTTTGTCCTTCTGCCTCACCTTTAATTACTGTCTTATTATAAGAATCACATTTAACTATCTTGAAAAAAAAAATAAATAAATAAACTGCTTTGGAAGGGAGCTCTTGAAAAGTTTAATAGAATGAGCTTTTGGTTTTTGAAGATGGAGGCTTTACTTATACTTTCAATAATTCAACTAGCAAAAGTTCAAAAACTAATTATTTATCTTTATATTTTTAAATAAGATCATGCAGAAAGCACTAAAAGCAAACATCCCTAAACACCAAGAAGAGGAGTGCAATTCCAAGTATTAGAATAGACTTTCTACCTTTTTTGTTTGGACACTTATGCAGTGTTTTTGATTGATTCCATGGGTTGACTACTTGACCAATGTGATCAGTTCACTACTCACCAAGTGGTTTCCCTATTTAGTTGCATTGAACTTATTGTTATACCTAAGCTGTCTGAAATATGCTGTTAATGAATGACATGATTGATCTATTGTGAAAACTAATCACAAATTGGATGACCTGAAAATTGCTCGATGCTATTAACTAATTCTCCTGTTTTATTTTTATTTTTTTATGTTTATTTTTCTTATGTGGTGGTGACCAAGAGCCTTGTTTTGTGTGGCCTGAGTGGTGTAAGAAATCTTCAATTATATGGCAATAGTGAACTGTCTACTATCTGACATTTTTTTGATACAATATTGTAGAAGATAGATTATTCTTATCTTCATCTTTGAGTTTCATGTGCTTGGCAGCTGAGCAACTATAACTCCTTTGAGGGTGTCCTGTACTGTAAGCCTCACTTTGACCAACTGTTTAAGATGACAGGCAGCTTGGACAAAAGCTTTGAAGGTAATTAGCTTCTTCTTAGTTTTATCAGGCACCCTTACTCTTTCATCTACTTGTTTAAGTTTAATAAGTCCTTATTAATTTATTTACTCTACCATGTAGGGGCTCCAAAAACTGTTAGAGTTGATAGATCAGCTGATCAGGTACTCAATGCTGCACAAAATTGCACACTACTTTCTCTTAGATGTTTATTGATGTCGATGCATAATATTTGAATATCTTTATTATGCATCATGTCATGTTCTCAATGAAATTGCACAGGGTCATACCAACAGCAAAGTATCGGGCTTATTTGCTGGAACTCAAGACAAATGTGTTGCTTGCAAGAAAACTGTTTACCCATTGGAAAAGGTATAGATAAACTTCATGGTTACTAAAGAAACATTCTTCTTCTTCTTCTTCTTCTCTTTTTTTTGCACCAGGGGGGTGGGGGTGGTGAAGGGGATTAGTATCCTTTTTTTTTTTTTTTTTTTTTTTTTTGTAACTTGTAAAGAGCTAGATCTTAGAAATTAACTTACAAAAATAATTACCGACTAAATAATTGCATTAAACTTTAATGCTTATAGTGGTTGCTGGAAAAGCATCCTTATGGCCAACCTTCTCAATTTATGGCTTTTGTGCTTAAAAGCCTGTCAAAATGAGATCCCAAATGGCCAAAAGTTCAAAGTGCTGGGGTTCCCCAACACCAACTAGTTCATGGAAATTTAATTTATGATTCCTCTATATAATCAGGCTTTTAAATTTGATATTTCTCTGTACTTGAGAAAATTAAAGAAGGGGGACTCCTCGTCAATTTTTGTTGGAACCTTTAGTGGATGTTTAGTGGGGAAATTAATCTAAGCTCCTAAATTTGATAACCTCTTTAGCTTTTAATCACTGTTACTCATGTCTCGAAAATCCGAGTTCTCATCAAGTTCTTTGTATTACAAGAACAGTTATGATCACAGCTCCTAGCTTGATTTGCTGCTGTTATATTTCTGGCATTACTTTCATGGTAACCACCGTAGCCATCTCTTTGCGTACAGAGCTTCATTGATCAAATAAGTCCAAATTGGTTCCTAGCTTGAGGAATTATGTCTGTTTGAAACATTTTTAATTATCAACATTTAGGGGGGGGAAAAAAGATTAGTATAACATTAGATACATCGTAACGTCTCTGCCATTAGCCCTTTTTTTTCTGATTTTCCCATGTTTTGGGTGGCATAAAGACTAAAGTTATGATACTTATGGTCTATTTACATAAACCTATACGCAGTTTTATCTTAAGAGAGAGAAATCATTGGATTACTAATTTTAATTTCTTTTTTCCCCTGAAGATTAAAAAGTAACGAGTGAGCTTATCCATACCACTCATATGGTGGAGTTCTTCAATCTTTTCATTGCAAGGTATTAGTGTCAGTATAGTGTCCAGTGCTGCCAGGATTTGGAGAGTCCAGTCCTCGTCCTTCTCTGTCACTAAAATTCTAGAATTTCACTTTGCATTGAAATTTTAAAATTTTAGAGAGAGATTTGTAGACACCAGGACACAAGGAGAGATTCCTATGGCAAACATAGAGGATCATGATCTTCATCACTCAAAGCTGTATTCTTTTGAAAAGAAGAAAAAAAATCTTAAATTTCTGTTGAAAAGGTTCATCTTATGTACTACAATCTTTGTTCTATCAGGTGGCAGTGGATGGTATGTCGTACCATAGGCCTTGTTTCAAGTGCGTGCATGGAGGCTGCACAATCAGCCCATCAAACTATGTGGCACATGAGCACCGTCTCTACTGCAAGCACCACCACTCCCAACTCTTCAAGGAGAAGGGCAACTTCAGCCAATTGAGCAAGCAAGAACAAGGTGGTGACTGATAAAGATCACTGATGATGTCACAGGTACTGCACCAAATTAGGTGTTTCTTGAGAGAAGAGAGTCAATACTTCAAGTATTTGAAGTTTGAGGTTAATATTTGAGCTGCCTTCTATGTTTATTTAGTGGAAGAGTCTTGATATATATGGTTGTTTTGATTGACGAATTTTGGAGAGTGGGGTCTTGATTTGAATGAATAATAGTTTTGAGAATTGAAGGGTTTTTTGGTTTATTGAATAAACCTTGTCAACTCAAAGGCTGCGTGTGTGCTTTGTTCTGAAATTTGGTGTGGTTTCATACTTAGCTCCAGCTTCATGAGGGTCTATCAGTGGTTGGGCTTTTCTGTGTTGCTTTGTCCGATAATCAATTTTGTTTACTTCTTTGGAAGTTCTAGTGTGGAAAATCTTGGTTAGAGGTCTCATTCTCCTATGAGGGATGGATTAATTTTCTTATCAGATCACATTGCCCACCCCAGAAAAGGGGAAAAATGAGATTCATGGGAAAAATGGCTTTTAAACAGATGTTTGGTTTACTAAAAAAGCCTGCCTTTTTGGCCAGCTAGGGCTAGAAAGTTGGAGATGTTTGTTTGCTCCACGAAAAAGCTGGTATCGGGCCTAAAAAGCCCAAAATAAAGGGCTAGACATTGGTTTTATTTTTATCATTAAGCTTTCTCTCCACGGCTTTTACACATAAAGCTTTCTTGAAACCCTTCAGGCGTCCGTGAAAAGGGATAAAAATGAAATAAATCAAATATTCATATAGAAAAAGTTGACTTTTTGGGATAAAAAAACAACGACCTGTGTGTGTGTGTGTGTGTGTGTGTGTGTGAGTGAGAGAAAGAGAGAAATTGCGGACAAGAAATAACAGCTAACCAAACAAGTACCTGTACTTTCTAATGTGCAATTATGTATTGGAACATTTATTGTCTTTCATGAAAATGGATGATGAAGATTTGAATGGCAAGATAGTCCACATGTAATAATGTATCTTAGACAGTAAATCTGGTCTCTGGAGTTGGATAGAATTACCAAAGCCCACAAACTACTTTGTCTAATGTGTGATGATGATGAGTGGCCTAACGAGGCTTACAGGTGAATCAACTGAGACGGTGAAAATTAGGATTCGGTAAAAGAAAAAAAAAGAAAATATATTTACCATCAGAGTTGGTGAAAATTTCAGATGCATAGAATGGTTTACTGCGTAGTCATTATTAAAAATGAACTAAATATTGAACCGATCGAAAAATGCAAGTAAATAACAGAGTTTGCTAATTTGTATAACAAATGAGCGCAGATGACATGGTCTTTGGTTCAAGCCTTGCCAGCTGGAGGCCAGTTGAATTATGAGTTAGTTCGGTCACCGGTTCACTCTGAAAATCAGCTAGTTGAGACAAAGAAGGCCGGTCTAAATCAGTTCACTTCCATGTTGCAAACATGAATAGAGTTCTGAGTCAGATCTCCTCTCGGTTTTCCCTTCAATTGGTTGAACCGGCCAACCGGGTCTCAGTTGATTTGAATAATTATGCATTGAATAACTTAAACTTGAAATCAGTGATTAGCCTCCTTAATTTTCTATCATTACAGATGGGAGCTCAGTCGTTGGAAGGTCGTGTCTCCCCACAAGTACGGAAATTGAGAACGCATTCAATAAATGAATTGAATTTCAAGCGGCTGAACCATTAGTTGGTGGCGAGTTTTAGGTGGAGAAATTATTGCATCTCCATTCTCGTTTCCATACTTCCAAGGGAGGAAGGGAATCCTGCAATCATGACCAGTTGCTATCAGGGGCGAGAAGGTGTGATCAATCAAGATCATGGCCTCTCCCTTGGTGCTGTGATGGACCACTTCTCCGTCTCTCTCTTTCTATATATGCCAACTACGAAAAGTTTCCTAGACAGGCAGAGAAAATAAGTTGCTTTTTTTTAGCAGCCAGGAAAAAGAAAAAAAAAAATCAAACGGAAGCCAATGATGGGTACCCAGTTTCACCTCACAAACTTTGTGGAAGAACACTCAATTTCAGAGAAGCTATATGACATGTAACCTATCTGAAGAAGCCCTAAATCCTAAACTTTCAAAGATGCTTAATGAGTTCCTTGGTTGACTGCCAATGATTTCATTTCAAGTTGGGTGGATCCTCAACGTCCATTATTCTAGTGTTTATATATGTTAGGTGTGTGAATATATGTATATAAAAGAAGGGAAAAGTTGTGGAATATTTTTAATATAGCAAAATTGTTTTTCAATAACTTAGAATGGAAGGCCTTCTGATGAGGAAGGAATAATTTTAGTAGTCTAGATGCAAGGAGCTAATTGTTTAGATGAACTTTAGGAGTCAAGTTGAAGCTATTCATTTGGGTTGGAGATGGCAGGTATTTTAAATCTTGAACAGCAGGCCTAAAAAGAAAGAAAAAGCCAGTAAGCCATCATCTGCTTTTTCCTTCCTTTCTTGAGAGAGAAGAATCCAATGGACCTCATTGGTGGTGAGAAGATTTCACTAAAGATGGTGAGTTATGATTGTCTTAGTCAAAAATTGTACTGGCATGCCATTATCATCAGAAGAAGAAGCATTCCTGCATGCAGCGGCGTCTGCACTCCCACCTTTTCTTTATTTGCCAACAACAAAACCCTTCTTTCTTCTACTCTTTTCTTGCTTTTAGCTAAAGCTTTCCACACTGCTTTTATAGGTTCCCCCACACCTTTTAGTCCCATTCCATTTGTTAAGTAATTGAAGTTTAGTTTTCACAAAATATTCCTCACTGTAAAAGAAAATTTGTATATATTAATAAAAAAGAAGCTTATCTTGGCTTCTATGCTTTTTTAACAGTGTCTGGATTGAAAGCATTTTTGACTTTCTAACTTTTTTCAGTAAAAGCCAGAATCCAAACGGGAAAAGAGAGAGTGAGTTCTTTCCAGAGAGCTACTATCTAATAACCCCTTCTACAATTCTTGGGTAGTAAGGACAGGGAGAGAGAAGATTACACGATGAAAAGTGAGGGGAAAATCCTCCTTTTTATTTTCTCTCAAGATGTGGAAGAGAAGCAAATCCAGTGAAAGTTACCAAACAGGCTTTGCTAATGGCATACATACATATACATGTGATATATACATATATATGTATCTATACACACAATATCTATGTAACTTTATTATGAGTTTGAACATGGGTTTCACGTTATACATGAACTGTGGGATGGCTTCTCATCCACAAGAAGAGGAAGAACACCCAAAATCCATATCTACTACAACAATAATTTAGGGTGTGTTTATCACTTATAATTTTTAGACATTTAGATTTAAATTCTTAAAATTTTAATAACGCTTGAGTTTTATAAATTATTTATTAAAATTTTTGAAAATTTAATATTTAAAATTTAAATCTTCCACCAAACATGGCATTTAGTTTTTATTGTCTCCCCAAGGCAAGGCAACAAAATAAACCCTTGGTAATTTAATGCTACGAGGGCCCCAATTTCTTGTTGTACACTAAATTCTAATTGAAAATAAACATGAAATGAAGAGTTGTATATCTGGCATGGCCTACAATAGGCCATGGAAATCTGTATTCTTCTTGACTTTGTGGTGCATGGATGAGAAATTAAATTTCAAATTTTGAATAATATAGAACAAAATGAAAAAAAATAGATATAATAATTTAAAATTTTTGGTTTAATCTTTTATTTTTAAAAAATTTTTCCTTTGAAAAATACTGCTGTGAAACTTTAAATTCTACCCTTAATTCTCGGGTAAATTATTTGAAGCCGCTAAAATATATCGCCTTTTAATTTACCCTTTTAAAATATGAATGTAACTTGGGTGTTGTTTGGTTGTTGTTAATAATTTATCCTTTTTGAACTTCTAGTTTCCAGTTTTTTCTATTTTTGGTGAACATGGAAAAACATGAAAAAGTAGAAACCCAAAAAAACTCAAAAAATTCTAAATTTTGTTATTTTTTTAATTCATTACATCATAAGAATAGAGAAATTTTTTAAAAATAATTATTTTCTATTTTTTATAGTTACATATGACTTTTTTGATAACTCAAATTAAAATTTTAAATTTTATAAAAATAAATTAAAAATTATGATAACAAAAAATCAAAAAGTTAAAAATTCTCAAGAACCAAACATGCCAGTGACCTTTTATATGAGATCTAACCTTCTCTATCAAATTGACATCCTTTTTTTAATTTTCTTAAAAAATACGAAACTCTCAAAATTGCTATATGCTCCGGGAACGTGATATAATTTATTAAAAGAAAAGGGAAGTGTTTAAAAAATTCAACTCTGCAATTGTTATGCTTTTCTGCTCGTCAATCTACTTCTCCAAGCAAGATATTTTCTTAATTTTGATTCTTCAAAATTGCAAATAAATTAAATAATTTCCAACAGAAAGCCTAAATTTCCATTTGAAACGGCGGACAATTACAGACCATGTTTGGATGACCTCGGATTCACCATCCTATCTTTCTCTGTACACAAGCTCTACACAGCTTTTACTGCAGACGCTAGCTTGCCTTCTTTTTTTTTTTTCCCTCCTTCCTCCTTTTCCTAATATAATGAACATGGGTGGAGAGAGAGAGTCAGATTCCAGCCTCGTGGATGCTCTGGAGCGAAGGTTGCCATGCTTTTGATCTGGCAGCGGCAGAGCTCGCCGTTGCCGCCGTCTTCCGCCGGTCCCGATCATGTTTCAACACCTGAAAATTTGCCAAGATTCAAATAATCAGTACCCAATTTTGAATTTTCAAAAGAATAGTAGTAATAAATTGAGAGTAATTTACCTGGTGTGTCTTCTCCACGTCAGATCTTCTGGGTTTGGTGTCTGCAGCAGAACCCGTCTTCTCTTTCACCTTTTCCTGCTCATCACCAAGCTCTAACTTTTTCTTTATCTTAGCTTGCTTCTTCGCCCACAACACTTTCATTACCTCTGTAAACAACAGAAGTCAGAACAAATCTCAGGCATTAACGAGAACCCATTTCGAATTTCAACAGGAATTTTCAAAATTTTTGTTTTGTGTTCTGTTTTTAGGTTGTTTACATCCGTTTTTCAGATTTCTGTTATCAGTTTTCGTTTTGTATGTTTCCAGGAACAGAAAAATCTCACTCTTCAAAACTTCATTGTTTTCGTATCGTTTGACAAAATAGTTTCTGGGAGTTCTGAGAAAAAAGAATTTGATCTGTTTCAAAGATAGTATTTGAAAACAATCTACCACATTGAACACTTTCCAAAAACAAATCCAAAAAGAACTTTATTTACCTCTAGAACCAACAAAACCCACGAAATCTATGTCATTAAGGAGAATTTGGATAAGAACTATTTTTTCCCATAATTTTCATATACACGCTCTGGTTCAAAAGAGAAAAAATTAAGTGGGCAGGGGCGAACCTGCGGCGGGGATGAGCCTATAGGCTTGGCCAAGAACCAGAGTGTCGGTTGGCCGGAGAAGCTTTATGCGAGTCACGCGCACTGTATTTCCGGCGCCAGCACCACCGGCAGTTGCTGCGGCGGTGGCGGTGGTTGTGGTGAGCAGGAGGGCAACGTAGTGACCGGGGTTGGTTTTCAAGAGCTCACCGGCGGTGACAGGCCAGTAGAGCTTGTCCACTCTACCACATGGGTGTTGTACTACTAGAGTTGCATTATCTATAGCTTGGCAATTCCCCATTTCTTCCCTTGTCCCTCTCTCTCTCTCTCTCTCTCTCTCTCCTGTCTCTCGCTACTGAGATATATAACTTCAGAGAAGATGCAACTTGCAAGAGATGGGAAGGATGAAGGAAGGAGAGAGGGAGAAGTGTGGACTACTGCCTTTATAGGGTGCAGGGCACTACCCACCACAGCCTTTCAGGGAAACGAGAATAATATAGGTGGTGTTTGCTGCACATTTAAAAAAAAAAAAAAACTGATTTTTTTTTTTGGGTGCATCTTCAAAAATTAAGATTTTTGAAATTTTATTATATTAATTTAGTGATTTTTTAAAAAAATTATTTTTTTGCATTTAAATGAGATACCTGTAAAAGAGAAAAAAATATCAAAATTTTCTATTTTTTATTTACAAATAAAAAACATTTTTAGAATTAAACATCACATTAACTCCAGAACTATATCTTTTATATTAAAATAATTAAAAATCCACAATCTCCTCTGAACCAAATTACTCTTTAGATTTTTCTGAGAAAAAATAGTTTGGATTTAAACATGAATAAATTTTGATTAAACAATATAAAGGGCTTAGGGGTAATTAGAGCTTTCTAAACCTAACTTCATTTCCATCTCCCTTGCAATAAGAAAAAAGATTCAAATCTTTTGAAACCGAATAAGGGATGTTTGGTTGTTTCATAAATAAGAATAAGCTTTTTGAGAACTTTTGAAAGGAGAAAGCATAAAAGATACTATGGAAGATAATAATCAGTTCACATAATTGTAGAAATAATTGTAAAAATTGTTCTAAAAAATATTATTATGTAATTAGTGCTCATATTGAAAAAAAAAATCATATAATAAGATTTGATATTTCTCTTTTCGTAGATTAAAAATGAATGAAATTTGAAACATATTTATGTATATAAATTTTTATTAAATATAAAAAGTTAAGTAATTTATCTCATTCTAAAAATAAAAATTTGATACAATCTTGATCCCCAACAATAATGTCCATGAAGATTGTTTCTTCCTAGATTTTTTGCCCGCGAGATTCTAGTGGTTGGCAGCAGAGTGATAATAATTATGAAAGCGAGGGATTCTGAGAGGAGAATATATTCTGTGACGTGGCGCGATGTTACTGGTTGCTTATAAAGGCAGGGAATGTCTGAGCACAGCTGATACGGACCCTGACCTGAGATTCGTCACTGACCTTTTACTCACCAGCTGGAGTGCAATACAATTTTTTACGTGCCACGTGTCAAAATGCCGACACGGTCGGTTAATGCAGTTTACACGTGCCAGTACCAACCCTCGCGGTTTGCATGCATTAGAAATGTTTATCTGAAATTTAAAATTTAGATAGTTTAATGTCTCTTTGAAATTTTTTTTCCATAATTTTTAAATTTTAGGTAAAAATATATGATGTTTATCTGTTTTGGTTATTTTTTTATGATTTATTTTTCACTAAATTTTAATTAAAAATAATTAAAAATAAAAATAGAGGAAAATAGATTTTTTAATTAATAGTAATTTATAAATAATTAAAAATATTATTAAACAAATATACTCCCAATATTTTTACTAAATTCTCATCTTATCCTTTATTATTAAGAACATAAAAGTTCTATATATACTTTTAATTTTTTATTATTATATAGTTTATTTATTTTGATTAAGTTAAAAATTAAATTATAGTTTAAGAATGAATAAAATTTTTGAAGCAAATTTATACTAAACAAGAAGTATATCAAGAATTAAATTCAAAAGTTATTAATAACTTAAATAATATTTGTCATAAACAATCAAAATATTCATTATCTCCTCAAATAGACTCCTAAATAATTAAGAAACTTGCATAATGATTCAATACATACATTCTTATAGTAAAATTAATTAATTAAATAATTTAATTAATACATCCAATAATTCTTCATTATAATTTAATTAAATAATAAATAATTTAATTACTCTATATAACTCATTAAATATGAAGGTAATCATATAAATTATCAAAAATTATTAATATTTTATTTTTTGTTTTTTGTTTTAATAGTATCAAAATTGCATCTACAATTTTAAAAAAATGTTATATGACTAAGAAATGGGTAACTTAAATATTTTAACATAAGAAACAATTTTACAACTATTTTATTAATACATTTGTTTAGTTTATGCTATTTTTAATAAAATTTATTGTAATGACCTGAGAGTACTGGTCTTAACAACTTGTTGAGCCTGAACTAATGGTCCAAAATACTTAAGTATAAGTTGTTTAGTAGTAGTCTCTAATCTCTTATAAGTCCAGAATCTCTCCCATATTTTATCGATGTGCAATTCGCCTAAGAGTGTCACACACACTTACTCTCCATTTGGAGCGTCACATTTATGAACATTTTGAATTTTTATATTTTTAGTAATTTTTAACTATTTTTATTGTTTATCACTCATTGAGAAATAGTAATTCTTGCGAATAAATATTTTTTAACAATTAAATAATTTTAATAATAATTTACAGATAAAATTTTAATATTTTATTGGTTTTATAACGACACTAATATCAAACTTTTACTATAAATATTTTGTGTTGGAAAACAATTTACCAAAAATAAAAAAGAAGGAAGGCAATTTTCCAAAAACAAAGAAGGGGAGAGGGGTGTCGGTGTGGCACTATTCTGGGTGGCGCGTCGGCAGAAACTACACGAGAGAGAGAGAGAGAGAGAGACGTTTGTTAACGGTGACGAAATCTTAAGGCGTGAAATTTGAGGAGGGCCGACAAGCCTCACGCCCGCACGCACACAAAGAACGTAATGAGTAGGGGGAGTCGCGTGTGACGGGCGTTGCGTTGACGCAAAGCACGCACTTCGTAAGCGCACATTTGAATAAAAAAAGAAAAGACTAGGACCAAAAAGAAAATGAAAAGCAGCCACATCTTTCGGATATTTTTCTAATCAATTTAGTATAAATTACATAACGCTCCCCTCAATTATGATCTTCTATCTTTCTACTCCAATAATCCCAATAATAAAATATAAACATAATTTAGCGTAAAGATGGCAAAGAGGTCCGGTCAAACGGCTTTGGACCGAGTCGTTCCAAGTATAAATTATAAAACCTTAATTAGGGTTCACCATCTCGTCATTATATGATATACATTAAAAAATATGATATTTAAATATAATAATTTGATAATATAAAATTTTAATTAATTATATAAAAATATTAAAATGAAATAATATAATTAGTTATTATTATTATCGGATATTGAGTTTTAATTCACTAAAATTTAATTTTAGTTGGATGAATATTAGTATTGATATATATGACATCAGTAGTCCCTTCAACCGTGAAAAAAACAAATAGTGATCATTTTGGACAAAAGTTAAAACAAAGTTATCTTTGACTAACTAGTAAAGTGGCTTTGTAAGGGATAGTGATGTGCCAAAGTGATCAAGATTTTCAACTTTTTTATTTTGTAAAAATTAAATTGTAAAAAACCCGGCTAAATTTTGATTTGTTCCTTTATTTTTTGAATTTATTTTTCTCCGTAAAATAACGAGGTGGAGACGTGGACTGTCACAAGTTCCATGCTTGGTTGTGGGGTTCGGATACAAACAGACAAGAGGTGTACAGGTGAATCGTTTTTACCATAATTAGTAAAATATGAGACCAAAAAAATATTATATTTATTATTTACAAGTATAATATATATATATTTTTTTGAAAATTATGAGTTCATTAAAAATATTTACGTAAAGAATATAGTTATATTATAAATAATTTTAATAATATAGAATAAAAAATACATTATTTTATTCATTTATTTAGTTTTGTATAAATATATTTTTCATATATTAATCAAAATATTTTAAAATATATAATAATTTATGAATAAAATATATTAATATATATTTTTGTATTATTATATATATAGATCATTAGTAACTAAAAAGAATGAAGTCAAGTTATAAACGACTAATGTATTAAGTTAACTTTAAAGTAAGTAAGTATAATTTAAACATTAAATCTTGATTAAAAAATTTAATTATCCATAATGATAATTCAAAAATACAAAATATTTCAATAATTCAGTATAATGAATATATAAAACACTTTCAAAATGAAGTGTTTAGCTAACTCAGATTATTTTTATTGGCAATATTAGTAGTAACTTCCTAATTTTCAAATATCAAATCTTATGAATAAATATTTTTATGAAACTCATAAGTAATATAATTTAAAAATTCACTAAAATTGTTCACTTCAATAGATTTCATATTTCATTCTTCCAAATTAAAAGATTTTTTTCACTATTATTGTATTTATCCTTATATACACAAGATTGTCAAGTATTTTTTGTAATAATTTATTTTTTATTTTTATAATTTCAAAAATATTTTAATTTATTTTACATAGTATAAAATTACATGACTGATAAAATTTGAAACGTATATACTCTTTTAGTGTTGACAGGGTATCTCCACAATAATTTTACCAAACTTCTATGAAAATAAAATATAATTACATAACAAAAATATTATTAGAGTATAATTTGTATACATCCAATCGTATTATAAAAATGTGTATTTTATTAAATTTTTATAAACAAATAAAAATAAATAATTTTTTAAAAATTATATATAATAAAATATTATTTAAGTATGATACATGTTTTTTTTTCTCAAATAAAAATATTTATAACATAACTAGAGAATAGAAGTATTTTTTTCCTGAGCCTCAAATAAAATTTTAAAAAATAGGTTGAACTTTTTTCTAAAAGAAAGGTTGAATGAACGATAATTGTTAATGGATTCCTCTGCTGCAGATCTGACGACTGACAAATATGACTGGTAGGCCATTGGCACCCTTCGTCTGGTGCGATCTCAACCCTTCGATCACCGTCGTACTCTTCTAGATTTGCTGTTAACAGATTTTTTATTTTTTATTTTTTACAAGAAAGCTTCTTATAAGGTAGTGGCTAAAAAAAAAAAAAATCTCAATACGAGGCTGATTTCTAAAATAATTATA